AAATGGTTTAAATCATATTTTGAAATAATTGAACTTAGTTTTTTGCATTGACTAAAATCAATTTCAAAATGAGTGAAATCAACTTTTCATATATATGAGACACACGTCAATGTGAAAATATGTGATATTTGATATTTCACAAATGTGAAACAATGAAATGGAAAATAATCCAAATACATCCAAGATTGATATTGTTTCAAAGGTCTACTCGCTAAATACAAATATGTATAAAGCTTCAAAAAATGGAGATTTTGTTCTAAATATATCGATCATTCAATATATGACAACAAAATAAAGTACCCATCTTTTACATGGTGCAATGGTCCTTCTCTCCACTATTTGACTCTCTCTCCTAGAATAAGATGGAATAAGCTGCCTCCTACCCATCTTACACATATTTATGAGCCAACAGACGCTGACATTAGTTCTTTTTTTGGCGGGGAACGCTGACACAAGCTGACACATACATTTGTATTACTCTCTCCAACTTTGTGTTATACCTACAATGCTAGCACGACTCCCAATATAGAGAATGGATGGTAGATGTTTCACGGGTAAATACTAGCACCGTTAGAGTTACTTATTTCCTGGGCATGCCCTCTCTTTGTACCGTTCATGCCTGGCACAATGTGTCTCTCACTGTCCCTAATACCAAGCACAGTGTGACGCTCAGACCGCGATGGTTATGTCTCACTTACTGTAAGGCATCCCCTCTTCTCGTCTTTGGCGCTCAGCTAATGAGCAAGCCCCACATTGTAGCTTCCTGGAGCAATTTCGGGAAGTATCTATTGACCGGATCAGTTTTAGAAGCTTCCATGTGTGTTTTTATTTTTTTGTCTTCTATGTATTTTTATATCGGCTTTCAATGTTTTTTGGGTTTTCTTTCAATTTTTTCCCTAACACATGTAGACCTTTTCAAAAACACATTAACCATTTTTCAAGTATAAGTTAAATATTTTCCAAATACGCATTGAACATTTTTTTTAAATGTACTTTGAACATTTGTCAAATCACTGAGCATTTTTTAATACACGGTGAACATTTTGTGAACACACACTGGACATTTTCATAAATAACATGACTATTTTTTTAGTGCAAGACATTTGTTAAGAGTTGGAATTTTAATGGTGCAAAACATTGTATAAATTTTTGTGACAATTTTTACATTTTATAAATATTCTATGAAAATGTCACGGACATATTTTTGAAATGCATGAACAATTTTTCCAATTGTCACTGGCACTTTTTGAATTGAACAAAACATTTTTCAAAATTCCAATAACACTTTTACTTTTATAAATTTTTTCGAAATTACAAAAATATTTTTTTTGAAATGCATGAACAGTTTTTAAATGTCATAATTTTTAATGACACATGCATTTTTTTAAAATTGTGCACTGCATGAACCATTTTTAAATGCGCGATGGACGATTTTAAAATTAAATTGAAACATATTTCATTTAATTTTTTTAATTAAAGGTAATAAAACAAAAATAACTAACGAATGACAGAAACTACTGAACGTTGTCTCGCTGAAACGGCGGACGAGCACGCAAACAAAAAGACCGGGTCGATGAGTAGATAATTGGCAGCGCTAGTGTAGGACTATCGATGCTCGCTCTATGGCGAGTGGGGGAGGTGCACTTCTTCCCATGGCGTCGAGTCCACGTGGGCTGGCATGATTTGAAGGGCGCGCCTTCGCAACAAGCTCACAATCTTTTGTACTGCTTCTAGTGTCGGATCGGCTCAGCACCTGGAAGAACTTGCACCACGAGAATTACTCCCCCTCAACCCTCCATGAAAGGTGTGGCAATATCAAGGACGAGGATCACCTATTCCTCCTGTGTTCGGTGGCGGCGGCGGCCTAGCGGGTGATTGGGGCTTGCCATGTCTATTTCTTCTACCACTGCTCTACTTGCGTCTCCTCCCTCCGTCAAGGTCGTCGCGGGGGCGTGGGATGCTGTGAGAAGCATTATCCTCTAGCACATTTGGAAAGCTTGCAATGACTTGGTGTTCAACTCCAGGTTGTGCATTGTGGAGGCCTTGCTTTTATCGTGAGGTTACGGACAACAGCCCGTGGAACTATAGGTTCATGTTGAAATATATTGCCCGGGTATCTCATCCGTTTAGACTTTAGGAGCAACTGGCTGGAGTATGAGTTCGGTATGGTATCAAAGCCAAATAGGTCTTGAGATCAAGACTTTAGCATCACATTATTAAAAAAAGATTCCACTGCCTACATCGATCTCACGTCTAAGGAATAGAATAGCCTAGATGTGAGGGGGAGTATTGACATATATTTCCTACCTCTCTACATCAGTTCGGATTTTTGGAGCAACTGGGTGAAGCATGAATTCAATAGTTTCATAGCAATCAGGTTAAGGAGGGCATTGCGGCCTTGCGGAATTGTGTTATATCGTCTGTCTAACATGTGGCCTATCCCCCCTCCCTTTTGTAGCTCTCAACGGTGCTATGTATTCGATGGCTCGCCAAGCTTTTTAGGTAATACAACAAGACAACAAGTGGTGGGGACGTGGTTCCCCCCTACGACTGATAGAAAACTTCAAACTTGTTAAGTAAGGTTTGGCCACGAGGTAAGAGCTAGCCACTTGATTTTGATTGCAATCTAACTATCAAAGAAACAATGGCTACCTCATAGAGGAAGCAATCATAGTATGCAGTGTGGTGTGGCGACACACATGGGGTGGGTGCAGGAGACATGTAGGACGAGAGGGTTGGGTGCCACAACATTGGATGTGATCCTCGACATGAGCTTGTGCTGATTGTGAGCATGAAATGTGACCCCCTACATAAGTGCCCCCCAATCCTCGCATCATCCCCTCCAGGGCGACTCCGTGGACTAGGATTACACCGGCCGCCCCCATACCCCTCCATGCCTCTCTTGTCACGCCGCCGACTATTATGTGGTGGTGACAAGGCCTCTCCCACCTCCCCCCTCCATCCCCGCGTTTCATTCTCTGGCTTCTTCCCCAACCAAGGCGATGTGCTCCAATGCGAATTTGGCTGCTAAGCAATTGTGGGAGTCTGGCTCGTGCGTTTGGCGGCGCTGTTGGTGCCTTGAGCCCAGAGATCCCTGTCAGGACATGGGTCTGCTAGCATCGTGCACCATCAACTTCGACC